AATGAGAGGGGAGAAAGATAATCGTAATGGGGTTAGGGAAAGGGGGTTGAAGGGAAGAAGAGTTCAGCGTTTGGTGCGAATGTGAAAGAGGAAATCGAAAAAAAAAAAGGTTCAAGTTGATAGTTGGGGAAGATTGGTGGGATAGTTGGATGCAATGCCGATAGGAAGGAAAGAAGGAAGGAAGGGGGGGATGAGGGTGGAATGGTGGTAGTATTACGCGCATGGTTCGCTACAATTTACTGAATATTAATCCGTGCAATCGAGCGAATCGATGAAACTCGAAAAGTGGACGGCATCTGCCATTAAAACCATGATGACGAGCAACGTGTTTTATAGGTCGTCCCTATATTTCTTCCACCCCCCCCCACCACCACACACACACACCCCACCCCTCCCCCTCTCCTTCTCACTTCTTTTTTTGGCTCTTTTTTATTTTCGGGGTGCTAAAGTGTTACGCCTCGATACACTGATACGTACGTTGTGCATATATACAAGGTGTACGCGTAATTCGTAAATGTTACAAACGAGTTTGCTAGTGGATATAAATTAGTCGTTATAAAATAATAATAAGAATAATAATAATAATAATAATAAAAAATTATTATTCGAAACGTATTATATCTTTTAATACAAATACAATATTATATATTCATAAAATTATTCGATTAATTGAATGTTTTTGGTTTGAATAAACAACGATTAAATAATACGTTTTAACGAATTTCAACAAATATCATTAATTCATTCATTCATTCATTCGTAACACCACCACCATCACTATATTGCTTAATTTGAAAATGTTTATACATTTCAATAGATGATAAATAATTTGTATAACAAAAATAATTGTCGACGATGATGATTCTTCCCACTGTCCATTCAACCCCTTTCTATCTTCCTATAAGAAGACTCTCTCTCTCTCTCTCTCTTGAATCTATAATTTACATACACCCTGTATATATGAAAAAAAAAAAAATTCTAATTACGGGCGTGCATTCATCACTGCACACCGCGGGCCGAGCTATGTGGAAATGATACGCTTGATGAATAGCTCGTCGTTCGAGTCACCGCGATAACAAGATTTCACATTTTTCGCTTCTCTATATCCATTTCCCCCTCCCCTTCATATCCTCCTACTCCTCACTCCTTCTCTCATCTTTCACACTCTCTCTCTCTCTCTCTCTCTCTCTCTCTTTATTTCATCTCTTCTTTTCTCTGTGTTTTACTCTCCTACTAGGTACACATTGCTACTATTGAGAATGCCGAACGATCACCTTTCTTTTTATTATATATACTAGGGGTGCCCCGCAACGCGTTACTGTGGCTCACAATCAGTCTGATACACACGTCTTTAAGTCAACAAATTATCTTATACCGCCATCTGTTAGATGATATAAACTATCCTACCTTTCAAGTTGGATGAAACTGCACACAGTATGCAAAATTTGATTAAAATCGGTTCAGTACTTTAGGAGTCCATTGCGGACAAACAACGTGACACGTAATTTATATTTATATATATGTTATACAGGGTGATTCATCAGCTCTTGTCACCTAAATAGCTCCGAAAATATAATAATAGAAGAAAAGTGGATGAGTTGAAAAAGTTGCATAAAACATTCAGGATTACAATATGACTTTAGTATTTTTATACTAGGTTGAGACATTTTTGAAATTTATTGGTCAACTTTGACAAGATTTGAACTCAATGATGTGCAACATTAAATAGAAAACTTGACAATGGACCAATAAAAAATATTCGGAAAATATCTGTCGGAATAACTAAAGGATGACGCATACTCGATGCAACTCTGACGCGACCACGACCCATAAACTGTTCACCAATTTAGATCATAGTTGATCTTTAAAAATATTAATGTTGCATATCATTGGATTTGTCTTGTCAAGCACTGTCTTGTCATGCAACTGCTCGAATGCGAAAAGTTAATTGCAATCTAATTTAATAATAATTTCCTCCCTCTCCACCTTAAATTATATATTTGAGTTAAAAATAAGTTTTGATGTTTGATGTATTAAATATTTTTGTTGTTTTATATTTTAACAATTACAATAGAACACACACATACACATATATATGATGATGATAATAATAATAGAAAAAAAATAAAGGAAGATCGATCAGAAGACAAAAAAAATAAAATAAAATAAAATAAAATAAAATATCTTTTCAACTTTCGTTCTTATTGCAAAAGAATCGATAAAGTTTCTTGGATAAAAAGAAGTCGTAGGAAAAAAGCACTCGTAGTCGTAGTCTCACCATATCGAAATTCAAATTTACCATACGTCGTCGTTCGTTGTCGAAGCTTGAACGGAAACTCCGTGAGAAAGAACGAATACGAGTTCGATGATGCACACATGCTATCACACATACATACATACATACATACATACATACATGCATGCATACACGTACAATGTATGGTTTATATATACGTATACGAAAAACCCGTACGTACAATGCACCTATCTACCCCACCCCCGAAACCCTACCCCCTACCCCTACCCCCTTGCGACTATCACGTCACGTACATCACGACGATGGGGAACCGCGAACAAATATTATTCCTTCAGTGGCGTGAATGTTCTAGAGGATTTCTGATATCGGCTTGCCATTCCAGAGATTCGAAGCGAGGCAAATTTTTTCTTTTTTTTTTTTTTTTTTTTTTTTTTTTGTTGTGTTCATACCCCTCACTATTCCACGGATTCGAATACGAAAGCTTTGAAATCTACTATCTCGTTTAAAACTTATCGTACGATTGAAACACACTATCTATCATCAATGGAATAAATAAAAAAGTAACTTAGGGTTGTTGTTAGTTAGTCCAATTATTCTAGAAATTATATTTTTGGTTTTTTTTCTTTTGATGATTAAAGCATTGACAAAATATTTTCTATATATATATATATATATATATTATAATATGAAACATTTGATGGAAAATAATATTAATCAAACAGCATGATAAATTTTATTCATCTATTTATTACGATAAAATATTATCATTAAACATTGGAATCGATTAAATATCAATATAATTTCTATCTAACCCTTATTTATATTTCATAAGGCAAGAACGTGTAAGAGATTTAAACACGGGGTTAGCTTTAACACGGTTCATCCCGTTTGCAGGTATGTATGTATAATCGTGATAAGAGAAATTATTTAGGAAGGAAAAAAAAAACCAAAAAAAAAAAAAATACAAAAAAGAATGTTGAACACAAATGTTATGTAAAATTTAATTTACATAAATATTCTTACAAAAAGAAATGTGTAACGAGTTCCTGTGTGGATTCAAGCTTAAGCAAAACCACGCTCTGGCCAGTAATCGGAGTAACGTCATCTACCTAGGAAACGCATAGATAGTAAAGGAAGATAGAAAAGTAACATCAAAGAGTAAGAGAGACAGAGAGAGAGAGAAAGGGAACGGAAGACGTAACAGGAAATGGATACGGAAGAGAGAGAATAAGAGGTATATACATACATATATATATATATCTATATATACACGCGTACCAAGAGAGATAAATATACAGGACGCGTGGTTTTACGCGCTTGCGAGAGTTGAAATTCATGAGGCGCAGGAACTGATATTTCGTTGAAAATGAATCACCCTTTATACAAACGTTCCGACGCACAGTGGTAACGTGTACACAATAGTCAGACAATAGGAATAGCGTACACAGTGGTTGGTTGCTCGTATAACTGCAGCAGCACAACCACCTACCCCCACTGTACTTGGAAAGGAAAGGGCAACAAACAGGGGGAGGGTTAGGGAAGGAGAGAGTAGGACTAGGTCTGGTAGGGTTGGACAAGGGGGTTTGAGGGATATACAGGTGGGAAAATACGAGACTACAGAGAATCTGCGAGGTTTCTAGTAGAGAAGAGTCCCTTTTCTAACAAAACAGGAAAGAGAAAAGGACCTCCTGTGAGAACGAAGATGAAAATAGAATGAATGAGAGAGAGAGAGAGAGAGTGAGACACTTAACCCTTTTAAGGTACAAACCGAGAACCGGTATCGCATGAAGTGACTCCAATTAAATTAGTAGCCCATTAACGTGACAACTCAGTGTCGTTCTCCTCTACCTAACGTGTTGGTGGTCTATGTTAATTACAAACGAAACTGTGTTTGAGACGTGCAAAACGACCATCATCCATCATTATCGAGAATACTATGGAAATTAATCGTACGGTTAGTCTATATAAAGTGTTACGAATATTATTTCAAATAAACAAATATAAATAACAACACGTAATAGTCCTACTTTTAAAGTTGCATGCAAATTTTCTATATGATGAAATGTTTTTATATTTTATTTTATTTTTTTTTTATGTCATCTAAAATATAACGATCACGATTTATAATAAGATAATGTAATTTTAACGATATAGAATTTCCCATAACCATTTTTTTTTCACTTGAATAAGAGTAGAAGAGTGTAGGGGAAGGGAATACTTGGAAAGGTTAAAATTCCAGCTTCGAACAAGGACGCAGTTCTTTTGACAACAAGGACTAAGGGCACTTTCTAACACCGAACCATACATATATTCAAATGGTCGTTTCCTTGGCGTTCATGAAATTTAATACCCGTCGATTGAACCACCACCACCACCACCACCACTACCATCACCACCCATCCTCCCTCTCTCTCTTTCTCTCTTTCTCTCTCGAGATTGCTCCTTTGAGGTCTGGTCAATCGCGGTCTACGTCCCACGGTGCAGGTTTATCAAACGTCTCTTCGAAGCTCCTCTAACGGTGGTAGACTTTCATAAAATTTAATAGGCTGCTGACAAACTCTCTTCTTCCCCTTTTTCATCTCCAGGCAATTCGACCTGATAGAAACGACGACAAAGTATGGTCTGATTTTTTTTATCCCTTTTTTTTAATTTTTTCTTCTTTTTTATCAAATCCATCTTGAATATCTCGAGAAATCTAATTTTCGTCATTGTTTTTATCAATTCGTATATTTCTTTTTTTTTTTTTTTTGTTATTTTTGTTGTCGTCTACGGAATAACTCGCAAATCATCAGATTTATTTTCGATGATATCTCTAAAATAAAAAAGTTCAATTGAAACGTTCAAATTTTCGAAAAATACTCGTCCGTTTTACAATGTTTTTTTTTTTTTTTTTGTTAAATTACCAAATAACGTGACACAGGTGAACGGTTATACCTTAGAAATTTAATAAATAGCTGAACGATAAAGAATATTATAAAGATTGTTTCTATAAACGTGATCTATTGGTGCACCGTGACCAGGTCTTCCCCAGAATTTTTTCCAAGTATCGAAATGTCGTCTACAATTTTCCCGTTCCTCATTGCGTTCCTCCTGTAATGAAAATTCCATGAAATTATTTATTACAAAATTATTCCTAATACTTTTATTATATTTTTAATGTAGAACAAAATTAATCATTCTCTCTTTTATTTTCTTATAAAAAACATTATTAAATCATAAAACTTACGCATGCTCTATCTTGTTTCCATCGTATCTGTTCAGCAAGTTCAGCTACGTATTCTCTGTTGGTGACCTCGAACGAAGGCAAACTATTTCTGAAAAGAAAATTACAAATTTTTCATGAAATATTAAAAAACAATCTTACGATGAGTAATAACGATAGACACAAAATTAATGTAAGATAATTGATTATTCTAAAAAAAACTTTAATTTAACTATTAAATAATTAATATTAAATTATTATTATCAAATAAATATGTACCCAAAAAGGGTTGAAAGATCTAATAAACAATTTTAAAAAAAGGAAAATAAAAAATGAAATAGCAATCACCATAATAACGTTAAGGTGTGATTTTTCAACTATAAGGTAATAGAGGTTGGGGGATGTTTTAAGTAATTAAATAATTAATATTAAATTATTATTATTATCAAATAAATATGTACCCAAAGGGGTTAAAGATCTAATATATATAAATCTCAAAATAAAATAGCAATCGCCATAACGTTAAGGTGTGATTTTTCAACTATAAGGTAATAGGGGTTGGGGGATGTTTTAAATTCTCTAGCCTTTTCTAGAAAACGACCAATGCCATCGAGTTTTAGATACCCTCCGGAAAAGTATTATATCGACGTCGATAGTAAAGTGTTAGACTAGAGAGCGTTAATACACAAGGGGGATGAAACAGCATCAGACAGGTAAAGCTGTCGAGGTCGGTGCATTCAGGTCAATGGGTTGATTACCTATAATGTAGTTACATCCCTCGAGTCTCGTGCGAACCCTAACCATTTATGCCGCCCTAGTCGTACCTCGTCATCTCATCCATGCTATACTAAGACTTGTCACTTTGACGATAACAAAAAAAAAATATTCTAAACGTTAAAATAGATACAAAGATAAATAGAATGAATTTAAGTATTGGTAATTGGGATATTACTTAAAATCTTGTATATTACAAAGATTTTGTAAAATATTAGAAAAATAAATAATGTCTAATAAATAAATATATATATATATATATATATATGATTTATTAGAAATGTTTGATTTTTAGGTTAGAATTAATTAGTGTAGTTATTAAATGAGATGTAGCAATTATTTCATAAAAAAATAACAAAATAATTGACTATTACAAAAAATTAAAAGTGTATATGATTATATTATAAATGAATAATAAAATTATTTGTGTAATATGTGTGCAACTTTGCTACCGCCATTTTTTCAAGCCACCTGTAGGAAAATAGCGAAAACAAAGTTGTACACTTAATAAAAAAGAATAAAAACATGGAATTAATTACAAAACCTGATGATATGTAATAATCGAAATTATTTCTGATAGATATATGAAATTGAATAACAATAAAGATGATATTAAAAAATTGCAAAATTTTCAAATGAAAAATGAATATTATCTCAATTATAGTTTATCAAAGGTACTTTGAAATATTGAACATGATAGACGTTAATGTTATTACAGGAAGTAACTTACGATTGTATCGTGTATTCTGGCCGAGTAATATCCGTCGCATGATAACGAATATTATCTGGTTGGGAATGATAACGTCTGCTAGTTAACAACGGTACTAATTCAACTCCGCCAGTTAACTTGTACACCTGGACCTCCTCGTTGTAAAGATTTTTCGTATCCCTCGACGATTGTAAATGCGACGTTATACCTAAAAAGAAAGAAAGAGAAAGGATAATATAACGATTTCAATTGTTTAACCCTTTCGCTACTACGGGCCACTATAGTGACCTTCCATAAAATACCGCGTATTTTACATACGACAAACATATGCAGTTATAACACTAAGTCAAATATCCCACTGTGGACGTGTAATTTTAATGTTTTATTTTCATTTGATTTAAAAATCTTCAATATCAACAACAACAACAACAACAACAACATTACTTGAAAATAAAGTGCAATTTCGATTAGTTGCACTTATTAGCACCTCATACAGTAGAAATAGCATCGCGAAAAATACGCCCGTAGCGAAAAGGTTTAAAATGTGGACAAAAAAAAATAAATGGATGAAGAAGAAAGAAAATAAGGTATAATAATTGAATCTATAAAAAAAAAGGGAGGGGGTGATATTTTACCGGGGTTAGCATTCGCATCGAAAAATGTATTCATGTCTGGAACAGTCAGAGGATCGATGTCCCTTTTATTATAAAGTCTCCGGATCGTCGAGTCATTGGTCCATCCCTGTAAAAGACCAGCGAACAATTTTCCAAAGAGTTTGACTTTTCGCAGGAAGTATAAAAGGAGAGAAAAAAAAAAAACAGGAAAAAGAGGGGAAAAAAACGTCCAGGAAGGAAGTTTCTCTCGCGACAGTCCTCGAAGAGAAAAATGATCGTCTAACGGTTAGTCGGGTTCGTCACCACCACCACTACCACCACCACCATCAACACTACCCCCTCTCATCGTGATCCAGCTTAACTCGCGACTCTACTCGTTCCGTTCATCCATCAACGTCGGTCTAGTTAGTTGGCTAGTTAAAGTAAAGCTGGGCCAGTTTATTAGCGAGAAAACAGAAAACCTACCATAAATCCACAGACAGTAGTAGTAGTAGTAGTAGTAGTAGTAGTAGTAGTAGTAGTAGTAGTAGGAGAGCCGTTCATGTAAGTAAGTTAGTTGAACAAAGTGTGTATATAAAAGGGAATGATAGAGAAAGAGAATGAATAGGAAAATGTGTAAGAAAGAAAGAGAAACAAGTATAGAAGAAGATAGATGGACAGAAATAGTAGAAGAAGAAGAAGAAGAACAGAGATAGAGATAGAGAGAGAGTCAGCGTTAGTTAACGTAAGCTCGCTTACGCGCAATAAGAAGTAAACTTCAGTCGAAGTGGAGCTTGCTAATAAATTTCAGTTTAAACTTTCCGGCTTGGTGCAAGCTCGCAAGCTCCGCTAAGGCGCCGGTTGGATCGTTCAATTAGGTAGTAACGTGGCACGGTTATGTGTTTGCTGTTCGAGGAGAAGCTAGTAAGATGCGCTTGGTTGGTTGGTTAATTAAAAATTAAGAGTTTGCTTCTCTGTTGTAAGGAAGAGGGAAGGAGGATGATCGTCGATGCAGCAAAAGCTATGAACCGATGGGAAACGACGACGACGACGACGAGGGACCAATGCCAAGAAAACCGATGCAACGAGAAACAAGATGAAGATCGTGCGATTACGACGTGGGGGATTGGGGGAGTGGGAATTGGGAAGGAAGGGATACTTATCGAAGAAAATAAAAATTTAAAAAAAAAACATGTTTGCAAATTGCACAAGTTAAAAGTGAAACCTTCGAAAAAAGCAAATTCCGAGAGAATGAGATGAATTCATATTATCAGAAATAGAATAATTTATAATATAATATTATTATAATATTATTTTTACTTTTTTTTTTTATCTAATTATTTATTTAATAATTATAAAAATGTGCGCCTGTAGATATGCAACCCACCAGACACACATTAAAAATGTCGCTTGCGAGCGTCATCTACCGAGACGAAATTTTTTTTCTGCCCGAAAGATAGGCAACCCGTAATGCACACGTGTATGAACAGTTTACTCTTAAAAAAAATTCCGTCTCAGTAGATGACGCTCGCAAGCAACATTTGTCAAAGTGTGTCTGGAGAGTTGCATATCTACAGGCGCGCACATTTTTTTATATAAATAATAAAAATTTAACTTTAATTTAACAATTAGTTATACATATTTGTAGAATAATATTTAATTATTAATATTAACTTATATTACGTGTATTTGTTTAATCTATGGTAATAGAAAAGAAAAAAAATTAGAAATCGATTTTTTTCAATGGTTTTTATCTATCGTCTTTTTATCAAACTTTTTCTTTTCACGCAGATATCTTTCGAAGAAGAAGAAGAAGAAGAAGTTTTAAGAGGGATCGTTTCTCCATATCCTAGAAGATGACTACGACGACGTAATAGCCGATCTTACAGTCGTTTATCACTCGTTTAAATGAAATTCAATTAAGCTAACACAAATGTATGTACGTGTGCATGTATATGTATGTAAGTGTGTGTGTATCTCAATGTGTAAGCACGTAATACGTACAAATAAACGAATAAACGAACGAACGAGAACGTATACGACAAATAACAGTTCTACAAGAGTTATCGCAAATAAGGAGGTAATTAAAAACGAAGTTATACTTGGTGAGAGTTACTTGTTGCGAATTTCAGAAGATAACGATGAGAAATAGACAGAGAAAGAGAGAGAGAGAGAGAGAGTGAAAACAGGACGAAACCTTCAACAGGAAAAGCCAATAATTTCATCCTTAACGATTTATACTAACCCAGTATGATACCTACTGTTAGAGTATGGCCGTGAAATAGGCGATCAAGTTTAACTATTCACACGGATATATGTTGCGGTAATCGTGTTTTGAGATTTATGATAGAAGATGAAATATTTCATCTCCGAGAAGATAAGCGAACGAACCCGTTACCTGTACCAGTAATTATCACGCGAGAAGATGAATTTATCTTGATACGCGAACGTACGTAATTTCAGTAATACGATATATTCGAAAACTGTCCAGACATTTAGCAAAGATCACTTAATCTCTTTCCTTGAAATTAGACGAAGATTATAAACGTAATATTTAGTGAAAAGCAAAAGTTTCAATTATTTTACAATTAAATGTGTGTAAACTGAAAGAGAACATTTGTAGAAAAGAAACACAGACACAGATATATATACATTGATGAGAAAGGTTCTTCAGAACAGTGCATTTTCCGATCCAATCTGATTTCGCTTTGGTATAATAAGAGTGAGTGAGAGAGAGAGGGAGAGTTACTTGAGCAAGTTTGTTGGTATCAGCCAACACAGAACCCCTCTTGTTCCTCGTGACAACGTAATTTCGTCGTCGTACTAGCTTGTTCTCTCTATACCAAGCTGTCGTGTCTTCCAACGTAAAATCACGTACGAACCAATTTCTACCGACACAACAAAGTAACAGCACCACTCCTTCTCCACCTTCTTCTTCTTCTTCTTCTTCTTCTTCTTCTACTTCTTCTTCTTCTTCTTCTTCTACTGCTACTTCTACTTCGAAAACTTTCTTTTTTTCTTTCTTTCTTATTAGTTCTAAACGAGAGTAACCATTTTGTAAAATGTTCGTTTACTTTTTGATAAAACAAATCTAAAAAAAAATATATATATATATAATAAGATAATAAATTGATCTTAACACTAGATATACCACCATTTTCAGTATACCTATTTCTACCACACCAGTCAAAATGACTGGTGTATACAAAAAAAAAAAAAAATGCTTTTTGAGACATCCAGTTATTATTTACTCTTAAAAAAATAATAACAAAATTAAATAACAAAACGCTTAATTATTTACAGAAATCAAATGTTACAACATGAAGTAGACATTTTGAATTAATAATGGTCGACCAATCAAAATGACTGCTGGTCTGGTATATCTAATATTAAACGTAATGTGTGTATGTGTTTTGAAATGATGTGTTATAAATAAATAAAATAATAATAATAAATGAATAAACCTATATGAAGATTGATTAAAAATGATTAGTATACAAAATTTGTATTAACAAAAAAAAAAAACACACAAATTCTTTTCTATCGATCAATTCGTACCATAGATTCCCAAAAGTGAACACCAAATAACTTCGGATCCCTCCAAGGTAGTCCTCCAGGACCAGGACGACCCCAGGGCCAGGACTGCACAGATTAAGCACGCCCCGGCAAGGCATATTAAGCAGCTTCACCAAGAGATTCCCTTCCATTGACTATATGTACAATATAACCCTGTCTATATGCTATGTATTAATGTGTGTGTGTGTATTTGTATGTATTTGTATGTATATATGTGTGAATATGTATACCTAACTACGTGAAATCGTTGTTTCGTGCAAGAACGCGTGCTTACAAGCTAACCACGTGCGCATTTGAAAGCTCACACGGAGAAGCAGCGCAACAACTACTACTCCTCCTCTTGGGAACTCCTAGCAAATAGGAGGAAAGACGTTTTCCTTGAGAAAATCCTCTTTATTGTTATCTTTTATGTATCCCACCATCACCATCACAATCCCCGACCCCCCCCCCTCCTCCTCCTCCTCCTCCTCCTCCCCTTTTTACAAGCTTTGCCGTATAATTTCTACATATGTGTGTAACGCTTTGAATATTATTATTATAAACCCCCTCAAATTTTCGACCCCATCTATGTGACAAGAATTTCTTCTTCATTATCTATTCGTATATTCGATTCACGTAGTAGTTGTTTCTTATTTTTGGTTGTTTTGTTTTTGTTTTGTTTTTTTTTTTTTTTCTAAAACAAACCGTTTAAAATTGTATTCCGTTTAAAATTTTGTTCTAATATAAATTTATAATAGTAAATTACAGATAATAGAGAATATTATTATTAGTTTTGTTTTGTTTTGTTTTGTTTTTTTCTTTGCATTTATTTATCATTTAAAAATTAAATTGTAATTATCGTTAATATAAAAATACTTTTTACTCAAGATACGAATGATAAACATTTCCTGAAAATTAATATTACACGAATTACAATGAATGTACAAAGTTCAATCTGTTAATAATTCTCCATTGTTTCTTTTTTTAAATAATTTCACAAAGAAAAATAATAATAAATTCCTTTAATAATAAATAATGTGAAGATTTTTATTAAAAAAAAAAAAAAAAAGAAAAAAAATGTTATACTTTACTAAAAAAAAGCACAATTTATATAATTAATTTTAAATGATGAAACAAAAATGTTGTGTTTTATTTTTTTCAATTTACTCTGTCTATGTATATATATATATATATGTGTTGTGTGTGTGTGTGTGAATGTATGTGGTTTCTATTCGATCAGGATAGCATTTGCTTTGATCTACGTTAGAAAATTCACGCTAACGTATATCGATCTTTTTTCGTTTTACGAGAAAGGTGGAAAAAAGGGCTTTTCTCTACGTGATAGGTGAAGTCGGGCGTGCGTCCAGAATTTGACCGAAAGGGATCGAGAGGATCGTGCTTTGCCCGATTCTCCTCTTTCTCTTCCTTTATTTTTCCCTCCTCCTCCTCCTCCTCCTCCTCCTCCTCCCCCCACCTCACTGGCATTACCCAGATCCACGCTTTTTCTCTCTCTTTAAATTATTACCGGTGAAAAGAACAAAAAGAAAAAAATGTTATATCGTCGTTCTCACCCAACAAGAAAAATCCATTACGAATTTTTATTCAAAAATGTTGATTCCTAACAAATATGACATGAAAAATAAAAAAAAAAAAAAGAAAAGAAAAGACAAATTATTTTCTTCTTTCAATTAAAATATATACTTCTATTTTACTTATTTATATATTATATAATGTATAATAATATTATTATATATTATATATAATATTTTTATATAATATTTTTATATATATTATTATATTATAATATAATATATAATATATATTATATTATATAATATTATTACTATAAAATTTACGTATATAATTACATACTATATAGTAAAAAATAATTATTATATATTATATATATATATATATATATACACACTATATAGTATTATAAATATATACCTCTTATAATATATATATATATAACTTTATATATTACTATCATTTTTTGTTTAAAATAATCTTTCTAAATTATACCCCATCATACTAATAGAACAAAAATAACCAATATATAAATCACATTAAACAATAATAACTAAAAGTAATCTATTGAAATATCTGACTTAGCATATATGTCAATGATAAATTACAAAAGATATTTTTTTGTTGTCTTTATTAATATCGACCCTAATTAATCACTTGTACAAAAATAGTGATATTTGAAAAAATAGAAAACAAAATATATTCAAGTTGCTTATAAAAGCATTGAGAAATGAAATAGTTAGTTTTAGTCCTTGGCATAGATATTGAAACGAATCGTGTCACGATCGCTTTTCGATTGGTCATCGTTGAAATTCAGAGGTCAGAGGGTATACGGAACACCTTTTAAAAGGTTCGTACACGCGAGAGAAACAGAGCCCACCATAGGGCAGACGTATTATCAGTGCAAACGTTGAAGGCATGCTTGTGTATCGATCCGATACCGAAGGTTACTACTCTCTCTCTCTCTCTCTCTTATATTCCTCTTTGAGTTTCGTGATGGTAATCGTTTCCATAATTGCGAGAGGATGAGTTTACATAACTCCTTCAACGATTTAATATTGAAGATACACATCGTTTAAGTAGTAGTAGTAGTAGAAAGACTTTAGAAAGACACCGATTTAAACATATATTCAATTCTAGTAATTAATTTTACATATATCATTTTACGTAGATTTACCAAACGAAAGTATCTAACGCACAAAATTTGAAATGATAATAAATAAGCATTATTATTGCATAATAAGTGTGCGTCTTGTCAAATCGATTTATTTTTTTTTTTTTTTTCTTGAAATTTTACCTGACCAACAGTGGTAAGATTCTTCACGGATTCCAATGGTTCCAAACGTACGTTTTTCTTTCTTAAGGTTGCCGGACACGGAGCACCACCGCCCGGTTTACCCCAAGGCGAATAGTTCGCCAGAATCTCTCGCAACTGGAAAGAAAATTAAAGGGAAACTTCTTCACGATGGTCGTGATCCTCTTCTAACTCTACTATAGAGAGAGAGAGAAGGGGATTCCCTCCCCCACCCATCCCCAGCTCCACCTCCTCTTTCTATCGTACTCAGAAAAGCTTTTCTTTTTTGAGAGAAGACCGACCGTTCGTTGGAGTTTTGCAATAACGTAAGAAAGAAGAGAATAGATAAAGAGAAGCTTCGTAGTCGTAATATCGAGTCTACTCATCTATACTTTTGTACTTTATACTTTTTACTTTGTTCTTTTGTTTTTCATTTTTTTACTTTATCAAACCAACGTTATTATCTTTCTAGATATTTTGTTTGTTATTAGTGTGTTAGGTGAAATTTATCGGTTCAACCATTATCGATCCTATTAGATTTTGAGTTTAATAAAACATTGACGTATATAACACATCGACATAAACTAAACCAAGCTCTCCCCCCAAAAAGATATGAATATACCAAACTCGAATGGTCTTGCTATGTACAATCCAATTGGAGGGGGTGGTTTACGTCAGCGGCGTATCCTACGTGGCATGTTTCTCGGAATTGTTCGTTCGGATTATGCAAATGAAGTCCGGTAGGTAGGAATTCCAAAAGCATCCTTGTCGATCGTTTTCGACGTCGTTACCATTTCATACGGGGCACGAACTTGCGTGTCTTAGAAACGATAGGAACAGAATCGAATATGCAATGAGTCTCGAAAATATCTGTGTCGTGCGGATATGTATTATATATATATATATGTATCTGTGTGTATGTGGGTGTGTGTGTGTATTCACATCTAACTAAGTTTATATTTGTATGAACAAAATTATGTATATAGTACAATCGTAAAACTCGTTAATAGGAAAATGTATTACAATATAATACATATATATATATTAGGTCGAGTCATAAGTAACTTCTGAATCTATTTTTCGTATTTACCTATTATAAGTCACCGAAACAAACGAATTTTCGATATCACTGTATAGATGAGAATTCAGTTTAGTCTTCTGTTAACTTTTTTATACAGTCAATGTTACATTTAATCGTTTTTCTTAACCACTGAAATGGATAATAGTAAAAAGTGCATATTCGACATGTAATGCTTTAGAAATTGAAACAAGGTAATAGCACTAAGGTGTCAACTGAAAAAATATACAGCGTATACAGTGTACAGAACTGATAACTGATAGGGCAGTTAGTAATTGGTTTGTAAAATTCGCTAATACGGACCACTATAGTGGCCCTCCATAAAATACCGCGGTATTTTACATACGACAAACATATGCAGTTATAACACTAAGTCAAATATCTCACTGTGGACGTGTAATTGTAGTGTTTTGTTTTCTTTTCATTCAAAAATCGTTAATATCAACAACAACAACAACATTACTTGAAAATAATGTGCAATTTCGATTAGCTGCACGTATTAGCACCCCGTACAGTAAAAGTAGCATCGCGGAAAATACGCCCGTAGCGTAAGGGTTAAAAGATGAACCAAATGTAGGACGTATTTCCAACTTTGACGAACCTTTTATAGGTAAAATTGAAGCAAAATCCAATAGATACGTTGAACAATTGCAAAGAGTGCAAAAAAAAACTCCATGAAAGGTGTCTTTGCACATATCAGTCACAGAAACGCCATTCTTTGTGTCATAAAAACAAAACGGAAGTTATTTATGACTCGACCTAATATCTCTAAAGATAAAGAGAAGACATTGACGAATTTGTCGACACGAATAAAAACATCAATTTTTAATGTAGAGAGAGAGAGAGAAAAAGAGAGAAAGAATCGAATAAAAATAAAGTTAAAGTTACCGGGGTTTTATTTAGCAATAAATCGAGAGAGAGAGAAAAAGATAGTAAAAAAAAAGAATTTATGACTTTCTATCGTTAAAAACAACGATCTGTAAAGGGGGAGGGGGGAGGAGCTCTTAAAAAAGGATGCCACGACCAAAGGGTACTGACGTAAATAGCACTCTAAAACGGCCGATGTGCCTGAACTTTTCTTTACGACGAAACGAATCCGAAGAGGAAGCCTCAGACATACTTCTCGTTGTTCTCGATGCTTTTGACGTATGAACTCCTCCCTCTGGTGATTCCAAATAGTCGTTCCCTCTTGAACGTTTTGTCTTTCTCTATCTTTGCTCTCGGCATCCTTGATTTCCGGTACATACGTCGTTTGAAAATATTCCCCTGCCATATCCACCCGGCCATTCGGGGTGATACAACCCTTTGAAAATAAAAATAAAAATATATATATATATATATAAGAATAAGATCAAGAAATATCACTGTCCTTGTTTTTTTTTTTTTTTTTTAAATTTATTGTTCACACAAAGTGATAGGAAAAATAATAAATATATCTTTATGTTCTTTTTTTATACGTTATCATCTTTCGTAAAAATTATATAATACGAAATTTATTAAACGATCGATTATAAATGAAATGGAATTGTACAAAATACACATTTTTATTTCAACGTTTAAATAGAAATGAAAAAGAAAAAGAAGAAAAAAAGGAAAATAATGAAAGATTACACGTTATCCGTGTCAAATTGTAAGTTTAAAGTATACATCTTCGTGTCATTTTGAAACGTTGTTTAAATTATTCTTTGGTATAAGAGTTCGTGTTTGAAATTTGAATATATATATAAAGAATATGGAAATACTTACACGAGACACAGAAAGGGGGGAGGGCACGAAAAGAGAGTTTTACGTTCTGATAAAAGAATTCTTGATTGAACCGATGAAACACGAACAAGTAGGGAAAGTCTTTTAAAATAAGGCTTACATTCTTGAAGTTGAAAAGGTTGCTCACCTGGTAAGGAAGAAACACGCGACTGGTGGTGTTCGTTTCGCGTTTGATAGTTGCCTTAGAAGGGAGTTGCGGCCTTTTTGTAGTAGTTGCGTCGTCACCCCCGCTTCTTTTCAACACATACCCCTGCCACAGCCTTCTCTATGGATTATACTATACAGGAACGTTGTAACTAAGCTCACCCCTGTCCTCCTTTCGACCTTCAACCCTCGACCTCCATTCTTCTTCAGTATCGTGCCAACTCGAACAAGAACCTTTTTAAAAAGGTATAACGAAGTTAACAAAACAAAAAAATAACTCATTTTTTCTTCTTTTACAACGCGCTCTTAACGTTATTAATAGTTTTACATTTCCATCAATTTTATTAAAAGATAAATCGATTATTTCTTTTTTCTTTTTTTTTATCTCTTATCATTCTGTACCCAATTTCAACAATTATTAACAGTTTTATTTTAGTCAATTTCATTTTTCGTTGCACCATTAATTATTAATCCATTTGAAAGTTCTATAAATTTCTACAATGTGTGTCAAATTATACTTTTGTACATTTTAACGTTTTACTTGATATATATATATACATATATTAATAAAACAATGTGACAGGAAAGTTTTATTTTGTCAATGAACTTTCATTTATGAATGTAATTAAATATAAATTCGTTAACTTTAATGTGTATGAATAGAAAAAGTTGTATAATGAATTGTTAAGTGTCTAACAAGAAAGTTTAGAAATGACTTATTACATATCTACCAGAAAAAAACTTGGTCAATGACTTTTCGTCTATTTCTATGGTTAAAGTTTGCCCATAAATAAGTAAGTATCTACAGTTTAAGTTTGCTAATAACTTAATAAGTATCTACGATTTAAAGTTCATGAATAATTTAAAAAGTATCTATGAAAAAAAAGAAAAATCATCAATGATTCAGTTTCTATTCAAAAACATATTAATAATAATTTATCAATAAAAATAATGTGCTTTAACATAAATCTTGAATTAAAAAAAATAACATTTTTTTTTTTAAAACAAATCTATCTAATTGATAATCTAATCTATCTAATATCTATCTAATTAATAATACAAGAAAATCTTACGGTCTCTGAGTAATTACATAATATATAATTTGTCATTTGATGTTACATATTTATAATGAAAGTTTTTCAGGATAAATATTATCATACATTATTTTTAAGAACAATTATATTATTAATTTTGAAGATTTAAATAACAATCTGTGCTTAATTACAAATATTAGAAATGCTTTTCCTTTTTTTTTTTTTTTTAGTATTTAGTATTACTAATTAACCCTTAAAGTGCACATGGGGTGTTGGACACCCCAACAAATTTTGGATCTCTCGAAAACGTTACTGAATTCGAAAAAAAAAATGGGTTATTTGTCTTATGCCATCTAGTGTTAATTCAGATGGGTATATTTTAAAAAAAGATGTATCAAACTACTTTTAAAAAAATTGTCAGGTCTAAATATTAAATAGCAGCTATCAGGAGACGCGTTTTAACACGTTGAAGTGTCAAACGTCCACAGTGGTGCATTTAAACTAACTTTTACCAAGTGTACACTTTAAGGGTTAATAGTAATCAATAAATGTAATTGTTAAGCTAAAAAAAAAAGAAAAAAAAGCACCATATTATGCTTTCGTTCCAGCCAACGATGCTTTGACTTGAGCTTGCTGAAACATTTGCTGCAATTTTTCTAAAGTTTCTCTATGAGCATCTTGCTTTTTGTCCAAAGTAGCTATTAATTCTTCTGTGCGACTCCTAAAAATGAAATGAAATTAATATTTTGATTACAAACAAGCTCACATTAGAATCGTAATGAACTTACAATTCGGACGAAATGTAATCCATACGTTTAGAAACATTTTGTTTAGCTTCGTCTAAATATTGTTTTATCAAACACGGTCCGATTAATTTGTAAACTTCATCTTCAGACTTGAGAAGATCCAATTCCTTTTTAACAGCAATATTTTCATTCAATTGTCCATCAAGTATTTGTCTTGTACGAAGTGCTTTATTGTAATCTGATACAAAAAGAGAGATCTATTTATGATACTTTGTTTTCATTAAATAATCATATTAATATTAATCTGATTAATTATAATTATCTTTGTAGTATATTAAAGAACTATTTATTATTCTTACCTTTTTGAACTTGATTAAATTTATCTATTTCAGCCTGTAGCTTTTTCTGAATTTCTTCTACCATTTTCACTAAAAAAATATAATAATGTTGATTAAATAATCATTTTTATAATAAAAATTGAAAATAATTGATATGAACTTCTGTAATATATCAAAAAATTAGCATGCACAATATATATTTACAAAAATTCTATTATTGACAATAAAAATAATGAAAAGTGATATTTTGTTGAAATTTCACTCACTATTGTTATGTTTAAAATAAGATATAGTTATAAGTATCCCTTTAATTCGAAGTAGAATGAATATTTCTAAAATTAGTTAATGTTATCTAAATTAGCACGTTGTTTCTTTCCTTAAACAATGATTTCTACGAAAGCGCTGCCTTCGTTTTTACCACCCACATTTTATAATATATATACATGTGTATTAAGCTTAAACATTACTATGGGATACTGTACATACTCATTTTTATAGTATATAATAATAAATGATTTTGTATATTAATTTCAAATTGATAGAAAAAATTAAGCTGTACATTGAGATCAATGATAAATTCAATCCAATTAGATTTATAGTAAAAAGAAAGTGGCGGGTATTTGAAAAATTCAACACATTTTAAACATAATTTAATTAAATTAAATTAAATTAAAATTATGTTAAAATATTTGAAATAATGTAAGATATTAATATGAACTATATTATATTTATTCTATATTTCAAAAGGAAATACTAATAATCTAATTTATCAGTAATTATTTGACACCTTACAAGAATGTCTGAATAAATGCGTAAATGAGGGATATGATGTTTGACAATGTTGATTAATGCACGACTGTCTGCATATATGCAAATATATAATATACATAACTACAAGAAAATGCATATGAGAATAAGTAGTGTGTTTACCTATTCGCATGTACCAATTAATCTTGATGCTATGACTAAAAATATACAAGGCACAAAAAACTATGTTTTTAACCTTATTAAACAAGAAGGATCCAAGTGACGAATGAAAACATAAAAGTAATAGTGATGAGAATATCTAAGGAAAATAAGGAGGAACGATGGCGCTAGTGGTTACTGCAATGTTTCTATTGGTGCGCCGTACAAACCAATCGCGTTGTCGTTTTAGCGTGTCAGGGACAAATAAAAATGCTCTACGATGATTCAACAAAAATGCACGCACTCTGACGGTAAAAGTGTGAAACTCAGGTCAGTATTAAAATATAGTTTCTTATGTTAATTTATTTTGAATATTTTTCTCCAATATAAGTGTCAAAAGAATAGATGTGACTTTTTGATATAAACGTCACCATTATGAATAATTACAAACATAATAAATAACATGATAATAAATATTTTCAAGTAAGGTATTATCATCATCTTTTATGATTTCAGGTATTATAAGAACATTTTATGATTATTAAATTCTTTTTTTCATTTTTTGTTTACATTTATCGTTTATTATTATTTATATTGTTTTATTTTTTTATTTAATAATTTATTTCAATATAATACTTATTACTGCAACTGTGGCTTCAATATTTCATTTCATTTCACATTGCTAATTTACCAGTATTAAATTCTCTGAGAACTGGGTTCCAAAAATGATTATTAATTATATGCTTATGTAAGATTATCACAAAAATAAACAATATTAGTTAAATATCATAATTTTATTTATTTTTAAAAAGAAATGTTTATAATTGAAATCTGTAAATTTTGAAAATGTTAACTGTCAAGGCGAGTTTGAACAAAAATTTCTATTGGATCACTTTTGAAATGTAAAATCTAACATTGTTTACATTGTTTCTTCTATCAAAACGTTTATATATATATTTTTTTTTTCAATATTAAAATTTCGACAGTTAGAAATATTCCATCAGTTGAAAGTTTATAATTAAAAGCAAAGTATTTCAAACTTGTAGTGATTAATTTATTTTACAATTAGATTTTTCAACAAAAGAAAATACCTTTATACTAATAACAAAAATTTTAGAAACATTTATACTTTCTCTTTTACTTGTTTTTAATACTAACAAAAAAAAAAAAAACAAAAAAAAAATGTCAGATATGTCAAATATTTATAAACCAGAGAGTGAAGATATCTCTGATTATCAGAGTGAAAATATCTCTGAGTATCAAAGTAGTTCTGATAGCGAATTTGATGAAGATATTGAAAATATTTTTCAAAAATTAATTATTGAAGAAAATATTATAAATGATAATGAAAAAGAAGAAGAAGAAGAAGAAGAAACTGCAATGGAACAAAGTAAGTGGTCGAAATTTTGTGAACGTCAACAAATTTTTAATTTCAATGGAAAAAATGGCATTAACATAGAATTATCTAACACTATAATACCATATGATGCATTTAGTCTATTCGTTGATGAAGACATTATAGACTTGATTGTAAGAGCAACAAATAGATATGCAAGGATTACCGAGGTAAAAAATTGGGTACGAACTGATTCAATTGAAATCAGAAAATTTCTGGGATTGATTTTGTGGTTTGATTTTATAAAAACGATACCTCCAATGAGCTGTTGGTTACCAAATTTATTATATGATTTTTCTATACCGCAGATCATTATGGATAAGAAAAGATTCCAATTAATTCTTACTAATTTTCATTCTGATTTTTACAACATTGATAATGAACTTAAAGAAAATTATTCATTTTTGAAGATACTGCAAAATAATTTTAAAAAAATATTTACTCCTGGAGAAAATGTCATAATTAATGAAATATTCATTCCACGGCATGGAAAACTAATATTCAATCAATATATTCCAAAGAAAGCCTATAAATATGGAAACAAATTATTTACATTATCTACACCAGAAGGATTTACATGGTCAATGTGTGACTACTATGAAAAGTCAAATAACAAAGAAACTGAATTGGCATATAATATATGTCAGAAACTTGCAGAAAATCTTTTCAACGAAGGACGAACACTTTACATTTATAATTTTCATATAGATTATGAATTAGCTAAATCGTGTCTACAACAGAAAACTCATGTAGTTGGAATAATTAGAAATAATGCAAAATTCGTTCCAAAAAGCATTTCACAAGGTAAGTTACAAACAAAAGAAATAAAATGCGAAGAAGATGATAATGGTATCGTCATAATGAAATGGAAAAATTCAAGTAATATGATAATCCTATCAACAAAACACGGTCCCTTTGTGATGTTACAACCTGAAAACATTAAAGAAGAAGGAACTAAGGATGCTAAAAGGTATTCCAAAAAATTACAACCAATAGCACTTGTTGACTATAATGACAAAAAATGTAAAATAGAACATACAGAACAATTAATGTCTCATACAATTAAATCTATACAGGGAATGAATTATGATCAAAAAGTTTGTATACATTTTCTCCTTGGAGTTTCGGTTGTAAATGCTTTTTTGATTTATAATAAAATAACAAACAGAAATTTAAGTCTACAAAAATTTAAAGAAAAATTAATTGAACAATTATTAGGAGTAATCTTCTTCCAACGGTCCTAATGCATCAAACTTTTTTGTTTTTTTTTTTTATAAACAGCATAATATTGTCGTTGAAATAAATATTAAATTAGCATGTAAATAGAAGAAATTTTAATTCAATTTGAAAAGTAATAATTAATGTCAGTTTTGTTTTTTTTTAAGATTATGTTATATAGATTTAAAAAAAAAAAAAAATCACTTTACAAATGTCTAAAACAAAAATGATATTAATTATTGATATAACTAATATTAACAAAACAATGAATAATATATGAATTTAATCAAATAAAAAATATATATTAAGATACTTTTATACTGAAACTAAATATTGCTAAAACTGAATTGGTTCAATAAAATTATACATAAATTGTCAATTGATATCATGTAATAATATTATATTGACATGATCTTCCTTCTACCTTACAGTTCCCACAAGTGTGTAATTGACAAATTATTTAAATATTTGGACTTTAATCTCATAAAAAAGATAATATTCAATAAATAAATAAAAAGAAAAACAATATCAATATCTTCATAATAATAATCAAGCATAGAATCTATTTTTAGAAAATTATTTTAGACTAATCAGATATATATATAAAAGAACAAATATTTTACACGCATAATAATACATATGTATATTCGATGAAAAACAAGTTGATTGCAAATAGATTTGTACTGACAGTGGTAGTGGTAGTAGCAATTGTGATACGGGGTAGTAGAAACGACAGTAATAATGGTTCGGACGTATCTCAAGTTCTGCCATCTTTATCTCATCTTTTTTTTGCACTTACGATATCGTGGTTTTTTTTTAATATTTCATTCCATTCACTTTTTCGTACCATAATCGATTGAGTATAGAGCAGCGAGTAACTTAACGATAGATTTCCTAAACGCAAATTGCTTCAATAAACATAATGTACCACATAGTTACAATTGGATACTACACCGGCGCCGTGAATGCAACCCAGTTACAGTAATGGCGATAAGTACTTAAGAATCCAAGCTCGTGAAATTTTTCTGTAGAAATTTTCTAAACTTCAGTTTTATATTATATAACGAGTATAAACAATTAATAATTAATTAACACTGAACGATATTAGAAAAGTCAACATTATTTAAATAACATTTTCTTAGTTCTAAGAAGAGCGATTTAAAGTTCCAAGAAGTAACTATGGACGACTAGTTACGATATTGAATAAGACGAGTCAAAGAGTGGGGGTAGGAATGCGCGCGCGCATCGAGCACGGACGTTACTATAGCCATTTAATCGTGATTACCTCTAGCGGCCGATCACGTATGTGACATGGCGTCCGGGTAGGAAGAAAGTTGATTGTTAAATAAGCGTTAATGTTGTATTTATGACACTGACCGACCGAAAAGGGAACATCCGAGGCCGCGAATTTCCCACAGACACCGGCATTGATGGTAATGCATGCGAGGAAACCACAAAGGATCAGCGATGGGTAGGGCACCACCGCGTCAAATACTCGATCCTGACACACAACCAACCTCTCTCTCTCTCTCTCTCTTGCGCTCTCTTTTTCTCTCTCTCATTCTCTCTCTCTGTCTCTCTCTCTCTCTCTCTCTAGCTCTCTCTATCTCTTACTATTCACCTCACCTCTCATCTCCGACGTCCGTCCGTCTGAGCCACTCTACATCACTCTCTACGTGATACACATTACTGTTTGCACCAATGCATTTCCCTGATGGAAGGTCCTTGATTCCGTCGTGGAAATGACGCTATTTCGCGCCTTTATTCACAAACTATTGTCTATCGTTTCAGGTACTTCGAAAAGCACCAGGCCCATCCCTACCAGGTAAATATTCATCTGTATTTTTCTTTTTTTTTCTCTCTATCTCTCTATCTCTCTTTCTCTCTTTGCGGAGAGGGGGTCGAGGGGGGGGGAGGGAGGAATACGAAAGGAATTATTTTTTCGATGACACGACTGATACGCATCAATTTATCACAATTATTTGTCCTTCGTTCCTTTAAATGTCCGATTTTCTATGATTATCATTGTACGCGTTTACTGTGTCACATAGAATTCACCGTGTGTCGTTTTAATTCTATCCTCTTACCTACTTTTCCTGTTCATTCATCCGTACTATGATTTAACTTTCCTAGAAATTTCATGAAAATTATTATCTTTTATAATTCATTTTATATATCTTTGGATAAAAATAATCATAGAAAAAAAAAAAAAGAAAAAAATGGCAAATCCTTTCATTCCAATTTCAAAGTAATATATTTTGTTGCATAGCATTGTATAGTAAACATTTCTTTAATACACTCTCTCTCTCTATGGACATGTTTTATGAATATTTATTTTGATTTGGTTGGTGGCTGATACTTGTCAAAGACGATTGATTCCACATCATTGATATATTTTTGTTCAATGATAAACTTGTTTATGTGATATTTCAATTTGAATACAGTTACGTTATATTTCATTGTGCTTATCATTCTGTCGTTTCATTTATTAGTTATTTATACAATTAAATCATTTTTTTCTTGTTGTTGTTTACTTTTTTTTCTTTTTTTTTTTTTACATATTTTGTACATTGTAAAATATTTTGTGATAATACTTTGTGCAATGAAACGCCATTATAAATGGTGGAAGGGAAAAGTATAATCAATAATATAACTTGTTCTATAAAAATGATTTTTATGATAAATTTTTCAAACTTGGCATTAACCTCATTATGAAAGCTTTGTTTCAGTTTCATTGCATTAAATCTTCTTAGTCTAAGTTGTTTCACTTCTAATTGCTTTTTTTTCTCTATCTTTTTTTTTTCTGTGTGTGTGTGTGTGTTGTACAATATGAGCTTTATTCATCTAGAATGTTATTAATTGATCATTATACAAGTATTTAATGATTAATAAAAGTTCCATTCGATGCAATGATCAATTTTCTATGTGTTTATAAAATAAGTAATGTAAAGAAAAAGATTCTGCAATGCACTTGTAAACATAACCTTTCTTTTACTAAAAAATCAATACCTGTAATATCTTTGGACTTTCTATTTAGACAAGATATCTTATGGTATTTAAATATTATCATTATTAAGCTTCTTCCTTATGTGATTTTGAATATATATATATATATATATATATATAATTCATATTAAAAATATATTAATATAATTACAAATTGTAATATAGTATTTTGTCATGTCAAAAGTTTCCATATCAATGCTTGACAAATTTAGATATTATTTGCTTGTTTTCTTGCTATTATCATAAAAAATCATAACATTAATGATATAACAATTAATTGATAATATATATAATATAATAATATATATATATATAAAATTGTGGTTATAATTTGTTTATAGAACGCGAAGTACAGCAGTTCTAAGGGTGGCTATTCTTCATCGACGACGTCGTCGGATAGTCGCTACGAAGCGCGTATGCGTGATTCCCCAAATGGCAATTCTTACAGTCCAGCAGGAGGCTTGGGATTGGGCATGGGAGCAGACAGAGATAGCCCGAGGAGTTATACCTCCAAGCCCCTGTATAAGAAGGAGAGAGAAAATAGAGACTATAAATTATCCTCCTCTAGGGACAAGTATTCCGGTAAACATATTTCTTTTATTTAAATTTATTATATATATATATATATAAATATATTTAAACCATTTTACATTTAAAAACAAATTTTTACTCTATTTTTTAAAATAATAATTACGTGAATGATAATGCAAAATAATATATCTTTAAACGAAGAACGATTATGACGTAAATAATTTGTAATAATTTGACTAATAATTTGTAATAGAGGAAGATGTAACATAACTTTCATGAGAGTACATTTATTTAATGAAAATAATAATAATAATATACTGTGTATATTTTATAAACAAAGTAAATTAAAAAAGTTAAGTTAACGATTCGTTATAGACTATAGAATCATTTATTTCAAAACATTCAATTGTACTACTTCCTTCAGTATAAAAACAGGGTTGTGTCTTAACATTTTCAGCTGTAAAATGCTTGCTTGCATATGTGTAGATTGTGCACGATCACCAAAAGACAAGAGAAGCCATGAGAGCAGGGATTCAGAACACAGGACCAACCACGATAGGAGTAGTGGAGAGGTAAAACGAATTTATTTTTTAATTATTTCATTTATATTATTCTTTTATAATAATCTCTCTAATTTTGTATATACATATATATATATATATATATTTTCATTTATATTCATTATAGATTTTACACCCCATAAAATTATCATCTAATTCATCACGAGATTCTTCGTCTCAAAGAAAACCAGCTCACAATTCTTGTCAGGTCAGTAACAACAAATGATGATGATTTTATTTGAAACAAAGATACTTGTATGCAAATAGCCATTAAAATGTATTTTATTGTATTTTATTTTATTATTTTGTTTTACATCAAAATGTTATAATATGAAATATATAGATATAATTGTACGTTAATTTGATGTGAAGAAAATTTGATATAATAATAGTTTAAAACAGATAATAGATGATGAACAGGTTCAAGATCACATGGGCAAAAATAATTTCGTACAAGTTTTGTGGAATGCATACGTATATTTGTAGAGGGGATTCAATCGTTTCCGGACATTTTAGAACAGTCTGTTTAGGATAAACGCGGTGATGAACGAGGTGCAATGGAACGGACAGCAAGGTTTGGTGATTGGTCAGAGCATATGAGTTCTTCAGGAAAGAAGTATTATTATAATTGCAAAACAGAAGTTTCTCAATGGGAAAAACCACGTGAATGGATTATTCGAACAGATAATCGTCAACGCCAATCCAATGATTACTCCTCTAGGTCAAGTGAGTCGATTTTTTTTTTTTTTTT